AATTATTTAAAGCGCCTGGATACGAGGCAGATAGTCCTTAACCTTTTGTATTTAAGTCAGGTATTGCTGTTTATTTTGAGCTTTCATCCTTGCTCAAATAAACTGTACTGTGCGGAAAAACTGAAGAATTCTGAGCGTTATATTTTCCGCGCCCTGCTCTTTTAGCTATTGGACGTCAATTTCCGCTATCTTGGCTTCACTTTTTTCATAGGCTGAAAGACTGAAGTTCTTGCCTCAGATAGAGCTCACTGGTACGGGTTTGCATCAGATTCCCACCTGTGCGGATTTAGAAGCTGGTCATGCAATTTGCCGGGGGGGGGGGTGACCGCAGTTGGAATTGACTCGTTCATTAGGATGGGGCCATGGGCCCTTTTTCACATTTTGTCCCACCGCTGAAAAAAAATCTTAGATAATGTTGTGACATCTTTATTAGCTTTAACATGCATGCACGAATTGTATATGAAACAGGAGATATTATAGAATGACTTACATTTCCTGGAAAATACTTTAACATCTTGTAGCCATCGTCATTGGGCTTTAATGTTATGATCATATCTGGATCATGATCTGGTGTGATCATCTTTTTTTTTAGTTCAGCCAGTCTCTTGGCAGCTATTTTAGAATCACAAACCTGGAGGAGTGGAACAAAATGGTTTGGGGTCCAGGATTCATTCTGCTTCGGAGACGTGCTGGTCCACATTATGTAAACAGTGCGACTTTCACCGCCGACAATTTTACGTCGCGGTTTAAACTGTCTGTTAAGTACTTCAACACACTTGTTTTTTTTACTGACTGCAGGACAAACGGACTCGATATTTCTTTGGAGCACTGTTGCAGCTGCTTGTATAAAATTCAATGATGATTCCCTGAACTCCTTGAACTCCTGCAACTCTTTATCTTTAGTTATGTTGTTTAAACCTGATGTGTCGTACTCAGTTTTGTAAAATTTCATACCAGCAGACAATTCTATGCGCGTTCTTACGTGTAACTCTTTCGCACACGACTCATCTCCATAAGTGGCAACTGATAGGGCATCAAAAAGACTGCTAGTACCTTTGGATGACACCCAAGCAGGTTTTCGGCCACTTGCTCTACCTGTTTCTTAGACAATTAGAGAATGTATATAAGATATTGTTGGATCCACCTATAACTAACTCAGCTATCTGTACAGGTTAATACTTCCCATAGTGATTAACTGTAAGTACTCATAGCCAATAAGAAGATACCGTAGCCGAGTCGTACCCAATTTAAGTGCACGAAATGTAAAAAAACTAGTTTCATATTTATTTCTGACACTGCAGAAACAACAAAAAGTTCGTTTTCATTTATTTCATTTAGTTTTCATATATATGTTTAAACTGATATTCTTACCAACACTGCTAAGAATGTTTTTGGAAATTTTATCTTCCTTTTTGCCGTCGATATCCAGTTCGAATACTTTGGATCCACTGGTTAGCGGATAATTCCTCAAGAGTATCTTTTCCAGTTTCGTAGCAGAAGGTAATCGTGACTCTAGCCGCGATATGGACGAGTCGTAATCAAAATGGCCGTTTTGGTTTGCACAATCAGTCTCGCAAATGTAGTCTTGAGAGAACTCTTTTTCCAGAATTTTCATTTCGTTGGGTTTGAGTCCCTCGCAGTTAGCATGGTACCATAGTTTGCATTTGCTACAAAGCACTGCTGTTTTTGATGTTATTTCACATTCCTTATTGCACGTGCAACAGAGATTTTGAACACGTTTGCGATTTTTCTGTTCATTTTCATTAAGTTCTTGTAGATTATTTTCTTTTGATTGCGTCAATTCTAAAAAAAATTTGCAATCAACAGTTGTATTTTGCATCTGAACAATTAAGCGACGGAACTGCATTTACTGTCGGTCTAACAAACACTTTACCATTCATTGTTGCTTTCTTTTTTAAAGCAGGCTTTCTGTTGGAGCTCTTTTTTTGCTTTGCCTTTGTATCCTCAGCAACGTCTACTTTCGCTGGTAAACAAAATAAACAACAGGGTAAGTATAGTGGTAGTATGTAGGGTTGTTCATTTGTTACCTACGTTGTATACCCTTTTTAAGCAAATCCGCCCACAAGATTATTAACTGTAAATTCAAACTTTAATATTCCACCAGCACAAAAACAGCTACTCTCACATACTGTCATGTTTTGCGATGGGCTGAGATGATATCAACTTCATTTCATTTTTGTAGCAAAATTATTCTCTTCTTATACTTTCTGTTTCTCGAAAGAAAATTAAAGCCAAGATAGTTCAGACACCGGGGCAGGGAACTGCTCATGGGCACCTTTCTACTCATCGCACAATCAACTCAAGTGGTTGCATCTAATTAAAACTAGAAGTTACTATCTGATGTTTAACCTTTTCCTATGAAACACTGCTGTATGTATTATTGATTTTATTGGCAAATAAGATAACAAAACTGTATTTATTGCAAATAGAAATTTTGCTTCAGGTATATATATATATATTCAGTATGAATGGAATTCTTCAGAGGTCATGCCGCGTTGCAACAAAACCGTCAATGAGATCTTCAATAAAATAATTTGGAAGTAAATGTCTTCTAGAATTATTGTATTTCTCTATCGTTGCGATTACAGCATTTGGTAAACTCAAAAGTGTCACAACTGTATTTGCCTTTCCCATGTTCAAATGTTTGACATTTAGTTTCCATCTCATTACAAAAATCAACTCGGGTATAGTTGCATCTGATCAAAATAAACTGTCGATCATTGTGATTAATTGAAAGAACTCGCAGCAGCGAGTTGCAAGTTGACTCGTGCGATGAATGGAAAAGAGGGTTATGGTTGGGCATCTCATGTGCATGAAATTAGACTACTTAGGTTTTTAAGTAAGTTCTTGTCAATCATTACCAGAGATTAGCAACAACTTGAACACTAATTTGCATATGATCCATATACAGTGGAGAATACCAGTGAAATGCATGAATATATAGCTACATGGCACGCTACTTACAGCTAAACTGCTTATCTTTTTCTTGTCAAGACTCGCGTGTTTAAGCCCCGCGAGACCAGTTCAGAGAGCGAGCATGCCGTTTTAATAACATGCCGGCATTTTAAAAGTGCTGTACTAAAAGTAAAGTCTACTAGGACGTTTTAGTGGTAGTGCACATGATCACTATCTACCACGGGCAATAGGACAGGTGTAG